TGCAAGCCTACAAATTGCCATTTTCTGAACTAAACAAGTGGCAACATTATCTTCTGTTCAATCAGTGCGGGGCTCAGGCTAGTGTCAATTGAAAGCCACATTTCTTGGGCATGTCAGTCACTGTGATTGCCAAAACAGCAGATGCCTGTCTGGCTGGGCCTTTAATTGCTTCCCATGGGCCGGTGATACTCACTCACTGGTCCACTGATAGCATCGTTCTTAGCTGTGGAAGAACGACTCGAAATAGTCTTTTGGCGTAGCAAACAATATGTCAAAGTGTTGTTTTCCCTGTACCACCAACGTCCAAGTCTTAATGTTTTGATATTTCAGATATGTATATATAATGTATAGGAAAGTAGACAGCCATAAGTAGTAATGTAAATAATAGTATAAAGAACTAATAATACTATACAAGCCTAATATTGCCTCCATTTTTAAATAAAACAGTTCTTCTGCCTGTCTCCAGTCAATTCAGTATTGGCCTCACTCTCACTATTTGAAACTTTATCCAAAGCTGCCTCCAGTGTTAACAGTCTGAGCTTATCTGTACATTTAAAAGCATTGTGTAGTTTACATATTTATAGTGCATCTTACTACCATCGTTATACTCAGGTTGTAAGTTGGAGGGTGAAAAGCCTGGGCTGGTGGCATTAGGATTCCAACATTTTATGCAGTAGGGAAGAACAATTTTCTCTTCACGTCAACACTCTCAGTTGAATGCATGACCTGTTAAGAGGCATAAATGTTGGTCTGGTGCTAATAGTTTATCTTTCCAGCGGCACAAGCACTAATTTCAGTAACTCCATGTGCTTAATTTATGGCATTCTAATTGTTTTCTAACAAAATAAATGCCCATAATCATCCGGTTGAGCAGTACACTGTTGCCCTGCAGGTTGGTAATTTAACTGTAATAGAGCAAAAATTAAACTAGTGTATTGTGTGTTACAATAACTACTTACCTGAAGTTCTGATTTTGTTTCTAGCTCATATCTTATGTGTGTGTTCCTGGCCCTTTCCAGAGCTGCAAACATAACATATATTACTTCAGCAAGTTAACAATTTGAACATATTGTTTTACAGCTCTGCTAAATTATGGAGACAGACAATTCACATTCTTGGAATTGTAAAATTTAGAACATAATTGGGTTGGCACAAATCTTTTGTGCCATGGGCAGATAGTTCTGGGTGAAATGAAAAAAAACAAACAGTGATGAATTAAAAGGAACTATTCCAAGACATATGCAATTTTGAATGTGTTGCTTTGTTCTGCTGCTGCTGCTTGGTCCCATGGAAGCAAAAGCCACTTTGGCTATTGACCTCAAATGAAACAGCAGTATCCTGTATATTATTACCAAATGTGATACCTGAAAGGGAAATGTTTTAGTATTAATCAAGGGGTAAGCTAATTAAAATGCTTTGTTGAATAAATATGTGAGCGTGGACAAAGAGAAGGCATTTGTATCAATTGTGCCTGCAATGATAAAAAATACTGGTTTGGTGAACTTGTTTAGTGTAAAGTAGGTTTGTTTAGGGTTTTTTTAAAAAAAATTAATAATTCTCAGTGGAGCAAAATTTTCAAAAACAAGATGCAAGACACTGTAAAACCAATGATATGAACAGGTTTTTTTGTGAACATGTATTTGCAAGTGAACCCTTAAGCACTTGATATTTTGAAATAAAATTGACTTCTCAATGAACAAATGTGCTTTTATTGTGTGGTATATAACTCCATGGAGCAGGCCTATATCATTCTGAACGTTGTGTTTGTCTTGTAGTGTTGGGAAACGGGGAAAGTGGCAGAAACCTTTACAAGGAAGAGGTGGCGACAGTCACTTAATGCTTTACCTATTTCTGCTTATGCTACTGTGGCAAATAAACATGTGAATACAAATTCCAATTTAAACTTGCAGATCCCTACCTGAAGGTGAAGATCCTGTTATCTGAATCAGGGTATCTGTGTTTTGATTGTTCAGAAAATGTGCATTCAAAATGGGAACTGAAACTTGTGGGTTGTAGTCTAAGTACCCCACTGAGCAAAGGATGGTGCATTGTGTTGGCACAATGTCTGTGCCAATAAAGGTTTTGACTGACTGACTACATGTCCCCTTAGCCACACAGAGTACTTGGGATACAATCCAGTGACTTATATTTGGTTTTTTGTTCTTGGTGAGTTAAGCTACTGATTTTAAATTGTCTCAATTCAGATAAATCTATCTTGAATTCAAATAAATTATCACTGTGAACAAAATTAATATATCATTCAGCAGTACCGCATCACATAAGTCTTAGCCCTGAAGTGAAAGATTTCTTTAATGACAAGGAAATATAATCTTTCATGAAGACTGAGGATCAGCTGCCACTGAATACATCATCAAAACAGCTTTCAAAGGGCATTTTTAACTTTTAGAACTACTAAATACTACTGTCACAGCAGGGACTAAATGGACTTCACCAGAGCAGTGCTAACAGTGATATCCAATGGCTGATAAGGAACAGCACTTTGTGTTCCTATGACTGAGCAGTTTTATGTGCCTTTGGAGAGGAGATGCTGCTAAAATGACTATGAGTGCATGCTTCTGATAATAGGTCACAATCATGACAACAGAGATTGAAAGTATGACTCATCCCTTCAACGCCTGTCTACTTTACCACTCTTCCTTGCTGCTCCTAGTCCAGTGGTGGCGAACCTATGGCACGGGTGCCGGAGGTGGCACTCAGAGCCCTCTCTGTGGGCACGCGTGCCATCACCCCAGCCAGGCCCAGACCATCATTAAAGTGTTGAATTCTCTGCCAAATAATTTTAAGTAAATGAAAGCATTTGGGATTGCTTTCCTTACTTTGTTTCGATCATCTTAAGTTAATGCATGAGTTGTTTTTTCTAAAGTAAAACCTCAGTATTCAGGTTAAATTACCATGTTGGCACTTTGTGATAAATGTGGGTTTTGGGTCACAGTTTGGGCACTCGGTCTCTAAAAGGTTCGACATCACTGTCCTAGTCAATTTGTTGTACTGGTACCACTTGTAGAAAGAGTAGGCTTTTAATCACCCCTTTCTGCAAAGATGGAGCTTTATATTGGTTTATGTTGTATGGATTCATTAAGCTGTATATGTTCTCAGTTCCTTGCCCCATTATTTAAAACCCCATGTCTTACAAAAGAACAGAATTTTGAAAAGTAATAACTGCACAACTTGACTCTACTTTCAGAAGTTTAACAATATAATTTTGGTTCAAATGTAGATCCAAGCAAATATATAGCCATCACTATGAGTTTTTCAGTCCTAGTTCTTAAAAGGAAAACAGCCTCAATTGTTGATCACCAAATTATGCTGTAGTTAAAACAGTGCCAAAGAAAAATGATCACAGGAATCCTTTTGAGCCACCAATTCAAATCTCACCTCCCACTGCCATATTTAGTATAGAGGACAATAATATTCACCTACCTTCAGGCCACTGTAAAGCTTATTGAAATAAAGTGTTTGCAACACTGCAAAGTAGCATACATAAATATTAAGTATTATCAAAACAGTACGATTTAAATCATGAATGTCTGTGCAAGGGGTTGTGATTTAAATTTCTTAGTTTTTAAAGGGTTATCTTTCTATGAAATTTTAATTTTGCAGATTTCTGTATAACAGGTATAGTGGCTATTTCAAAAAAATGTAGCTTCCAGACTTTCTTGAAGTCAGAATTGTTCTATAAATGTACTGCAGAATATTTTATAAAAACAGAAGCCTAATAATATAAAAAAGTTATATACAAGCATTCATGACCATAAATAAGTTTGTTTTGTCATTCAGCCCATAACACATACATGATAAACTACCTAGTTAACATTAACAAGTTTACAGAGTCTATCACAAGTTTTTCCTGGAAGTTATTAAAAGCCTGTGCAGAAAACACTCCTGCCTTTTACTGAAAAATGTTCAAAAAGCAGCCTTTCCCCACTAACGCATATAAGACATATTCTTATTTATCAATTAGACACTGGAAAAACATGATTTTGAGATAACTTGGTTTGCTGTATTTTATTGTTTGGTCAGCAGGGGTTTTTTAATTAAAAAAAAAAATACCCCCAAAACAGATGGATATCCTAAATTTTTCAAACAGTATTCAAGCAGCTGAGAGAAGAAAAAATATGGGAAAGTGTAGCAATGGATTTTAGGAGGAGTTGTACTAAAATAAAAAGATTAATGCTTAGTGCATATACCTTACTTATATGATGGTATATTGACACATTTAGTTATTCACTTTGTTGGTGATTGATGCACACAAAGAGCTTCTTTTCTCTATCAAATGAATGACCAAAAGCCATTAAAGCACACCATGTACTCTGTGTACCCTGGAGATTTTACACATTAAAGGAGTGCCCTATATAGATGCATGGCTACAGTCAAAGATATAAGGGAATTGACTGTGCGGTCTTGCAGTAGGATGTGCAAAAAAGAAATGGGGGTGAGGAGAACAATGCAGGCATGCCACTGTAGAACACAGCAATTGTACAGGCATATTTCTCTTTGCTCAGACCCCTTCTTGCAACTGGGGCTTCTTAGGAGAAGTACTGGATGATACTTCTCCAGTGTCTTAAAATGACAGGAGTACTTTTCTGAGCATGTCATGGCTCTCTCTCTTGAATAACGGAAATTAACATTCATTTCCAGTAAAAAAAAAAAAAAAGGAATCAGAATGCAGATCTTAATTAGTTACACTACACAGTGAAGTCAATTTAACTCCTATATTCTTTCATTAGCTACATCTCTGAGGTAAACAGTTATCATAAATCAATCTGAATGGAAATGTTTAAATTTAAAAATTATTTCTGATTTGGACAATTGATCTTCACACTTTGTGCTGCAAACTGCTTTTCTGTCATCCTATTTTATTGGATTGCTATTACACAGCATTAGAAAAGAAAGAATGCAGAGTACCAGACTAATAAAGGGTATGGCACACATTATAAAAGTGCAATATAATTTTACTCTGACAGTATGAAATTCCAGTGGTTATTTTTTTTTTTTCCAAATGAAAAATGTATTATTCAGAGAACTGAAGTGGACAGAAACATTCATTGGTAAGGAACCATTCTCAGAACTGAGAAAATACATAACTCCAGACTCTTGTTTGAGGAAGTCTTCCTAGCAGTTTAGAAAAGAGGGTTTGCAATGCAAAAACATCTTAAGCATGGTCTCTTTCCACTACTACTGCTATGGCATGTTTCACGGTGTGTGTATGTGAAACACTTATTTCAGGTCTCATTAATTTGCTATGAAATATACCAATTATAAAATTTGGAATGTCAGTTGTCAGGGCTACTTTTATTTGCCAACTAATCCATAATAAGCAAGAATGTATATGGGTCTGCATGACTTAATGTGAGGAAAGGGGAAATGAGGCACTGCCTTCTATAGCTACAGACTGTGAAGATTCTTCTGGAAAATGTTCCCTTTTTTTCAACACCCCCTCAGTTTTATGCTCCACAATTAATGTGTTTAAAGCCTGATGAATTACTGCTTCATCTGAGTTTGTGAGAAGGTAGATCTGTTCTTCAAAAATGTCTTCTGCAGAGTTACTGTCTGGGGCAGAATCTTTCTGAAGAATGCTAACTGGTTGTAAGATGAAGCTATGTCTAGACTCCATTTCTGTCAAATCATTCCCACTAAAATCCATTTCGAAACTAACTGGGTCTTCAGCCTCTAGCAATGCTTTGCCTTGGTGACTATTCCAGTGTGTGGGATGCAGATTCCTTTTTTCAGGAATGTCATTGCTTAATTCAAGTGTGCTGTCCTGACATAACGTAACTGCTCTCGTAGCCAGGGCCTCTAAATCCGTTGGCATGGTAGGCTGTTCCTCTTGGGCTGTCAACCAACTCGAACCTTCGTCTGATCCAACAGAGCTCATTTCCAGCAAGAACAATGGTGTGGATGATTCATCCAAATATCCACTGGCATGAGCAGTCTGAGTCTTTACTCTTCCATTTTGCTCAGAGTAACTGTTCAGCAGTGCAAAGATTCTATCTACATCCTTCAAGTAATTTGTCCAGTCATCAGGACTAAGTTGGTAGTCATTTCTGTGTTCATATAAGCTTTCATTTACACTGTACAAATCTTCCAGTCCTTGCCAGTTGACATTTTCAGTGAAGTTTGGCAACTTAGCCTTCCCATCCATGCCATAACTGTCCTCTGTAAGGAAAAATGAAGAAACTGTTGACAACAGCCTGAAGTTCACCATCAAACACATTTGCTATCATCTTGTAGCTGAGAAGGTATGCAGCTCCTTATATTTTGAAATCCCTCTTCACACTTTTAGCACATTGTATCACAGAAAAAAGAAATAACTTAAAAGATATATATATATATATATATTGGTTAAACTTTTCAAATGTGCACCTTTTCAGTCTCTCTTTTAGAAAAAAGTGTGGGAGTAAGCAATGAAAGCGAAATAAACACTGTAGAAGACTCAACTATAGACTGAAAAGGCACACATTTGAAAACCTTAACCAAGAAATAGTCAGGTGCAAGTAGGTAAAAACGACAGAAGCAACCCGTACCAAGATCAAAGTGTATGTGTGGAAGCAGATCACCTACATGTTGCAGCACTACTTCCTGGTTCAACCAAGCCCTCCTAATTTCTTTTAAAGGTCAAAATTGAGGGAGACTCTCTTTGTTAACTCCACTCAGACTTTTCCCTGCCATTAATATATTCAGTAAAAGAATGATGACAACAATGGCCCTAATTTTTCAAGTTAAACTATGCAGTTTAACACATGTTTGAAGCTTTAAATAACATTAATAGGTGGCACCCATTAGGAATGTAGCCACTCCCAGTGAGAGGGCTGTGTCCATCCCCACAACCTTCGCCATTGTATCCTAGTGAATACAGTACAGGTTGTTGAGAATAGGAACAGTTTTTTGAAGCATTTTTAAAAATGTGCCTAGCATTGCCCCCTCAGTCGGAATGAAGAGACAGACACCAGTATGGATTTAATAAGGGCCACTTTATTAATTAATTTATAAACAAACAACTGGCGAGGGGTTACTAGAATGTACTGAGGAATATGACAGGTGTCAAACTCCTGACCACCTTCATTTCCTTCTGGGCAATGCACTTGCCCCAATCTCAAGCCACCGAAGGTAGCTTTTGACCAGTGGCTTGGCATATTCAAGAGAACCTCTGGCCTACCACCCCAGAAGCCACAAAGGCCTGCTAAGACAGGCTGGGCCAGATCGCCCCTTCCCGGCCTTGAGCTGCAAAGGTCGTAAAGTCGTTCCTGGAGGACTCTTTAATTCCTTTATAACAATGCCCAGGTGCTCACCAGTTCACATCCTGATTGCATTACCCTGCCAACACAAAGTGACCATCCTACTTAACAAATACGCCCCCCCCCCAAGCCAATTTTCCAACAGCCCCATAATCATTGCAAGGTAGGCAAAAACACCCCTCTCCAAAGGCCAAACTGAATAAGAGGTGAAAAATTCCTACCTGGCCCCATGAAAAGGCAACCAGTATGAACCTGCACTAAAATAGGGTGGGAGGGTGAGCCGAGCACGCAAGAGAACTGTTGAGGCAGAGGACGGGAGCCGAGCCTAAATAGGCTGGCTCCGCGCCCTGCCTGGTGCTGCACTTCTCACAGCGCCGGCGTCCTTCTCTTCCTGCCTCGCAAGTAGGCAATTCGGCCCACTCCCACCAGCGCGAGCTCAGCATGAGTTTAGGCTCGCATTACGTAGATGCAAAGGGAGAACCCACAGGTATTATACAGCATGATACTTCCCAAGCAGCAAATCAGCCAATATTATGAGAACACCAACAAAAGCCATTAGCGATACAAGAGGTTAAGGGCAAACGATACATAGTTTTCTCCTATGGCTTTTTTTTTTTAAATGAAAAGCAACACTGGAGGGAAGTGGTCAAGATATTGAGACACCAGAGGAACTGAGCGTGTGGACTCCTCTTGTGCAGTCCTTTTGGATTCAGCAGCACCACTATTCTTCTAGATTCAAGGAAGATGGATTTTGGTAAAGTAATTGTAGTGTATTCAGATGCTGCCCTGAATACACGAGGATGAACGTAGAATCATCCCATAGAGAAGCTATGCTAAGCTTCAGACGTCGGCAAGGATTCGCGCCGAAAGTATTGTGTCCAATCACATTTGAACTGTCTGTAGTGGGAACGCTTATGATTGGGCTGTTATGCGATCAACCTGATAGGTTGATAATTGTATAGTAGGTGTGGCTACATTAGCCCGGAATGTTTAAATACCGAACAGCGACAATGAAAGCTGGTTCGCTGGTTCGGGCTATCAGAGAAGTTGTACCATGTCAGAGAAGTTGATCGTCGAGCTGAATAAACTTGAGTTTTGCTGAAATCACTCTCTGGCTATTTTGTTAAGCACGGACTTAACAATTGGCGACGAGGATGGGATTCTAGTGCGGGTAGGCAGCCCCGCTGGTCCCAACCCCACGACGGACAACAGCGAGCAGCAACTCGCCGTGGCAGAGCAGCAACAGGCACCACCAGAGCCGGTGGCAGTGATTGCAGCTATGGCCAATAGCCCGAAGTTCGAGGCATTCAAACCAACGACTGAGGACTGGGACGCTTACCTGCTGAGGTTCGGGTTCCACCTCGAAGCGAGCGATATCACTACGGAGGAGAAGAAGCGAGCCACCCTCCTGAGCTCTTGTGGCAAGAGCGTGTTCGATATCGCCAGGTCCCTGGTAGCACCAGCGGACATCACGACCGTGGCCTTCAAAGAGCTGACAGACAAACTGAAGGCACACTTCTCCCCGCAGCCGTCGGAGATCACAAGCAGACACGCCTTCTTCAAAAGAA